TTGTGAGGTCGGCTGTGATATCGTTAATGATACCGATAGTGAGAACTGCTGTTGGATCGATAGTGAGATCCGAATTTGAAATAGATAGTAATTTCGAGTGTCAGGTCGATAATGTGATCGATTGGGAGATTGATAGTGAGGTAGATTGTGAGATCGATGGTGAGATCGCGTGAGAGATCGATAATTAGTTCGATTGTCAAATATATACTGAACTCAAGTGTGAGATCAATCGTGCAATCTGTTGTGAGAGCGATAGTGAGAACGACTATAAGATCGATATTTAAATTTGTTGTGAACTCGAGAACTTGATCGATGCGGGATCGATTGAGTAAGACGTTGGGTCCGCCTCCCCCCCCCGAACCTCCAGATCACCCGAAGGGTGGTCGTTTAAGTACCCATACAACCACCCTTCGGGTGATAAGGAGGTTGGAGGGGAAAAAGACAGCCCACTGACAACAACTGCAATGACTGAGATGGTGATGAGATGGCGCCATCGATCTCAACAATTCCGCAATCGATGTCACCATCGATCGAAATATCGCTATCACGATCGATCGCACTATCGATCTCATAAGAGATCTCACAATCGACCTCACATGATACCTCACGAGACATCATCGGGACACCACGATGGGGCACCCCCAGCCACGGCGGGGCATCCCCGGCAAAATATCTGTTGTGATCGATCTCACTGCCGATCTCACGATTGATCTCTCGACCCCAAGATCGATCTCACGATTACGATCAATCACGCAATCGATCTCACGATCGATCCCACTATCGATCTCACAACTGATCTCACGAGCTACCATCGACACGTCACAGCCGGACACCGGGAGCTACCGTCGGGACCCCCCGCGCCACCGACGGGGCACCCCGCGCCACCGACGGGGCACCCCGCGCCACCGACGAGGCATCTCAACGCACCGACGGGGCAACCCAGGATACATCTCACGATTACGATCGTTCACGCGATCGATCTCAATAGGGATATTTTATCGATCTCACAACTGATCTCACGAGCAACCATCGAGACACCACGACGGGACACCTGGAGCCACCGTCGGGTCACCCTGTGCCACCGACTGGGCACTCCGCGCCACAGACGGGGCCCCCCCCGACGGGACACCCCGCGCCACCGCGCGCCGGGGGGGGGGGGGAGGGGGTCGGACAACTGGCTTCACAGCCCCTAGCCACGGCGGCATCATTCCTCTCGCGCTCCCACGCAGCTTCGCTTCGCCCGCATGCGCGACACGAACACGAAACCGAAACCGATCTCCTGGTAGGGGGCCATCCGTCCCATTGCGATCTCACCACCCAACCTCCGATCAGTGGCCCTGAGGGCTCTGGGCGGGCGCACGGGCCTCCTCCGCCACCTCCCACCTCCCACCTCCCACCTCCTCCTCCTCCTCCTCCTCCTCCTCCTCCTCCTCCTCCTCATCCTCTATTCCTTTTCCTTATGAGCAACTTCTCCCTCTCGCACCGCGAGGCCAATTTTTAGGGTGGGCCGGCGGGCGTTTCGCCTGAGATTTCCTCACCACTTATGACCCTAAAACTTAAACATTGGTAGCAGTTTCACAGATGGAGGGCGGGTCGTTTGCAAAATGTGGCTCTCGCTTTAGCGCCGCGCGCATTCGTTCCATGGATTGAGGGCGGGTCGTTTTCAACCTGTGGCTCTCGCCTTAGCGCCGCGCACATTCGTTTTAACCAATTGCAAGAACTTCACGGATTGAGGTCGCGTCGTTGTCGAAGTATGGCTCTAGCCTTAGCGCCGCACATACTTAGATGTTTCAATGCAAGGGCTTCACGGATTGAGGACGCGTCGTTTTTTGAAGTGTGACTCTCGTCTTAGCGCCGCTTACATTCGTTTTAAGCATTTGCAAGAGCTTCGCGGATTGAGGGCGGTTCCTTTTCAAAATGTGACTCTCGCCTAAAGTTTGCGCGCATTCGTTTTTTAATTGCAAGAGGTTCACGGATCCCCATACTGAATGGATGGAGAGAGAGAGAGAGGTCGGCCAAAGCGATTGTTTCTCCTTCGGTTGTGAGCCGAGAGGTTTCTCCGATCTCTCTAATCCATCATATCCCTCGCACCCCTCCCAGCCAATTTATCCCTTCTACCAGGCGTATCCTTCCTACACCTCTCATCCCTCCTACCCTGCATGCCTATCATATCATTCCGATCCCTGTTACCTCTCGTATCCCTGTTCGTTGTTCTGCATCTTATCGACCATGTTCCTCATACCCCTTCCTAGCCATCCTCCCCCTTTATGCCCCATATCCTTTTATCCCTGCGTATCTCTTTCCCGCCATTTCTAGGATGTCCCTCTTAACACTTCCATCCATTTAACCTCTCTTAGACATTATTCCCATCCCTCATGCTTCCCTTATCCCTTAGCCCTTAGCCCTTACGCCCCTCGTATCCATCACACCCCTCCAGCCCTTCATATGTATCCCTCTTCTCCCTGGCATGCCTCCTATCCAGTAACTCCCTGCTGCCCCTCAAATCCAACATCTAGCTCTCATCTTACGTATCCCTGGTATCCCTCGTATCTTTCAGATCCCCCTTGCGAATTGTCAACAGTGTCCCTCATATCACACTTGTCCATTCTATCCTGCCTGTCCACGTTACCCATGATCCTCATAGTTCCCTTCAATCCGTATGAGCCCTCTGACCTCTCTTAGCCCTCCGATCCCTCATATCGATCACAATCCTCGTAACCCATCCTTTTCCGTATCCATGCTACCCCCCTTATCCCTCGCACCCATCCCGTCACCCTGATATCCTCCTAGCCTTGTTGTCCTTCCTATCTGGCGTATCCCTCCTACCCCACTCATCCCTCCGAAGCCTCATATCCATCATATCATTACTACCCCCTTCATCTCGTTATCCCTCCAATCACCCTTATCCATACATCCATCTTGCAAATCATACCACCACTTCCCACATGCCCCTCCTATCCCACGGATCCCCCGATACCGGCTATCATTCATATGCATTGTATGCCCCTTATCACTCGTATCCATATTACCCCTCGAATATATTCTCTGTCCCCCATACTTCCTTGATCACGTATCCCTTATACTCCTCCGATCACGCTTACACATATGATCCCACTTATCCGTCCTATCCCTCTGACCCCTCCCATACATACATATTATCCCTCATACTCTTCCTATCCCCCTTCCCCCTCCTATAAAGCGTATCCCCGTGCTACCTCTTCTTAGCCTCCCTATCCATCCTATCACACTCATCAATACGATCGACCATTCCCCTCCTAGTCCTCATACCTTTCGCATCTGTATTATCTCCCTTCTCTTATCATTCCGATTTCTCTTTCCTATTCCACATGTCATTCCGAACCCTGGTGTCCAATATATCTCTCCTATCCGTCACATCCCTCCAATCGTTTCCTCTGATCTGCATGTATGCATATACGTACGCATATATGTATTCATAGTATCCCTCTGTTCCGTCAAATCCCTCCTATCACTCTCATACAGAGTACCACGCATATTACTCTCAGATATCCCTCTGATCCGTTTGTACCCATCCTATCCCTATTGTCCTTCACATCCCTCCAATTACTCTCATACCTCTTATTCAACCTATCACTCGACTCTTCTCCCTCCCATGTATCCCCGTTATCCCTGAAATGCGCCTCAAATCTTCTACACCGATTATTTGCCTCCTCGCCTTATCCTCCTTGTCTCTACAATCCTCGTGGAACTGGGCCGGGGCCCTCATCGCGGAACGGGGCCTCTGTTGAACGGGCCCCTTTGTGAATGGGCCCCGAGCCTTTGTAGAACAGAGCCCTCTTGGTGTAGCGGGGTCGTTGTGGAAAAAGGCCGCATGTGTGAAAGGAAGGGCCTCTGTGGAACGAGGACCTCTCTCGGGTGAACGAAAGGGGGGGATAGCAAAGGGTAGGGTAGAAAATCAGCTCACGCAGCTGACTTTCCCAGCGCCTCCCGGCGCCAGGAGGCGCCCATGTATCGAGGGATGGGCCCGGCGGCGGGGCCGAAGCCAGCTGCATGCAGCAGATTTCGTACGAATTGCAACGAAAAATTAAAGATAATGAAACATATCCCAAAATGGCCAAACCATATTTTAAAAATAATCCTTTTCGTCCCCGGTCCCCCCCTTTCGTTCGGCCCGACTCTCTGTGTGGAACGGGCGCGGGTCGGCGCAGGTTGGCGAGCGCGGGGCGCGTGCCAACCTGCGCACCTGTGCGGACCCGCGCAGACCTGCGCGGGTAACGTCCTCGGGACCGCCTCCGGCCGCAGTGGACCAACGATGGAAGGGGCAGTTTTTTCTGGCCACGGCGGGCCTCTGCCACGAAGAAGTTCCCCCCTCCTCCTCCTCCTCCTCCTCCTCCTCTTCCTCCTCCCTCCTCCCTCCTCCTCCTCCTCCTCCTCCTCCTCTTCCTCCTCCCTCCTCCTCCTCCTCCTCCTCCTCTCCTCCTCCTCCTCCTCCTCCTCCTCCTCCTCCTCTCCTTCCTCCTCCTCCTCCTCCTCCTCCTCCTCCTCCCCCCCCTCTCCCCTCCCTCCCTCCTCCTCCCCCCCTCGATCAGAATTTGTGGCTTAGATCTACAGAAAGGCCCGAAAACCAGAGCTCCTCCTGAGACTGGAGACGGTCCATTACCTCAGCATCTCGACTGTACAGCCTTCCTTGCCCCCTCGAACGGTCGCCACCCAGAATGCTAGGCTGGCACGGTGGCGGGGCGTGCTGAGGGCATTTGGATATGAACACCCTGGCCGTCCACGACCTGGTGAACATGTGGGTCCCTGACCTTGCCCATGAAACCCTTGAACGCACTTGTTTTGACTGGGCCGAACACGAAACTGTGGCATCAACAGTAGCCGAAGCATGCGCTCTGCTGCATGTGCAGCATGATCAATTCACAAAAAAACCTACCAAATATGTGCGCTGTTCGCACTAGATTGCATTGTCATGGCGCATCCAAAAACATGAGCACCGACTGGCTTGAGTCCAGCGGACACATCTAAAATGTCAGTCTTCCCGCCGCAGTGCACAACACCATTCCACACTGTCCGTCCCAGCGCCCTTTGGGCGTCCGTGCAGTCCTCTGGGTCGCGGCCAGACCCTCGAATTCGTGAGCTACGGACGCATGCCTCGGGTCGAGGCAAGGCCAATGCTCGGAGGAGGGCCAATTGAGACGACGGCGGCCCTCCCGCCCTTCCAACCTGAATCATCTCAGAACCGCTGCCCGGATCTCTTTTGGGATCCATCCCGACTCGTTTTTCGAGGCGTCCCCGAGTCTTCAGGAGGCCCCCTCCCAACAAAAAAACGACAGGGAGGGCGTCGTTGTCTCGACGGGCCCTCCTCCGAGATACGTTTTCATTCGCTGCAAGGCTTAGGTCGAGCATCTCCTCCTGCAGGAAATAGTCGAACAACTCAATCATTATCAAACATATAGGAAGAATCGTCCTCCGACTATTTCTAAACAATGTTTGAATATTCCTCCTGTAGAGGGACATGCCCGACTCCATGCATGGCGCAGTACCTCATTCTCAGCCCAGGACCTGCGAGAAGCCGTCCACGGGCGGGTGAAGCTGGCCAACGCAGCGCGGCGCTTCCCCCTCTCGAAATGTACAGAATGTTGGGACGGGGAGCTCCCTTTGAGAAGGATCGGGTGGGAGTACGAGTATGAGGATGAGGATGCGGATGAGGAGGAGGAGGAGGAGGAGGAGGAGGAGGAGGAGGAGGAGGAGGGGGAGGAGGAGGAGGAAGGGGCGGGGAAGGAGGGCAAGGAGGAGGAATGTTGGGGAATGAAGCGAAGCGGGACGAGTGGGAGCAGAAACAACTGAACATATGATCATCACCACCAGCGCGAGGAACCAGGGGGAGTCCTCCTGGTGGCATGGTCCCCCTTGTCCCGCTCGAGACTTCGCCAGTCTCCAGCCTTGGGAAGGAGGGTCGAGGCGGGGAAGGATGTTGGACGGACTGCAGAGGTACTGCGCTTCATGGGAGGAGGTGGAGCGCGGCCGAGGAGGGTGGTTTACAATGGAGGCCAGTCCACAAGAACCCTTCCACAAGAAACCCAACCCGGAGACCCCAAGGCATCCATTGGTTTTTGGTGTGGGAACGTCACGCTTTCCATTGCATAACCATCGAAACGCAAGAAACCCAGGGCACCCTGGAGACAAGCAGGGTGTTTCTTGGTATGGGCCTCAAGTGTATGGGATAGGATGGGGAGGAGGTGGAGGAATAAAGGCGAGGTGGGCAGATGGCCGATGGGGGAGGAAGGGAGCGATCAGAAGGGATCAGGACGAGGATGAGGATTGCACGCGGCCCGACGCACGACGAGTAGGAGGAGGAAAGGGATGGAGGGGGGCGGAGGTGGGCAGGAGGGGGAAGGCAGAGGGGGGCAGCGGGGAAGGGGATGATGCATGGGGGGAATGCGGGGATGGAAGAAGGATGAGTGGGAGGAGGGACTGAAATTGGCCGGGCGGTAGGCCAAGATGTATGGCGCCTCCTGAGGGGAGACGGATGGGACGAGGTACGCACCAGAAGGCTGAACACGCTCACAGTCCGATTCACACGCGAACCATGCGGAGGTCACGCGCTGGACACACGCACACACACACACACACGAAGGGCAAGCGCGCCCGAGGTCCAGGCGATGGAGAGACATGCTGCTACATGTTTGTGTTGCCAGCTCAAGCTGGGGCTGGCCGCGCCATGCGGCCCGTTCCAAACCCCGAATCCAGCAGAATAACGGAGCCGGCCTGGAAAAACCAATGTCTACTTCCGCCAGCGAAGCTGCCCTTATTTCCCTGCCGCTGCGTTTCGCCGAAGCCAAGATGCGCCGAACACGAAACCTTCTCTGCAACGCCCCCTGTGTGCCCGGTTTCCCGGCACAGCGCGACAGGATCATGGAGATGCGCGGTAAGAATGCAAGGGAAGTGGACGCCCAAGTTGAAGCCTCTCGAAGAAAACGACAGTCGACCATGGATAAGGAGCGGGCACAAGCCCAAGGCGCCAAGATGAGAGGATGTCCTTGGAGAGCTGTGGTCACGAACTCTGGTTTAGCGCGTCGCTCCGCCGGTCCTGGCCCACCACGCTGCGGTGCAACACGCTATCCACATCCCCGTTCCCGAGCGTCAACATCCCGAGCCTTTCCCAACCTCCCGCCACGCGGAGCGACATGCGATCAGCTTGCAAGGCATACGTGTCGTCGGGGCCGCCGCCGCGACACGCCATCCAAAGTTCCTGACAGTACTCATTCTGAGGACCCTTCCTGACTCAAGCTCCTCCTCGACCAAACATCCTCACTTCGGCAACGCGCAAGAGCGACCCTGTGCGAGAGTGGTCTTCGGTGCGCAGCTTAACGAGCGGCACGGGGTGGCCAAACCCAAACGCGCAAGCCGATGCTATCGCATGGCGTGCAGCGGTTGGAGGACCCCAGTGGGCTCGCACCAAAGGTCACTCCCGCGAAGGGTCACTCTTACATGTATAGGGGAGACGTAAGACTCGGGCTCGGGGGACTCGGGTTGGCCTGACGGGGACGCCGGAAAAATGACGAGACTCTGCGTGAAGTTTGACGCGACCTCCCTCTGCAAACATCCCACGGAAAATGGACCGCCAAGACCCAGGATTAGGTTAAGCGTCGGCAAACCCGAGTTCCGGCGCACTCGAGTCTCGCGTCTCCCCATGTGTAATCGATTACCTCGCCCCGCAACACGGCTGCGGGTCCGCGCGCCACCTTGCCGCTGGCCTCCGCCTCGTCCGAGAAGCTGCGGAGGTCGCGGGGCACCGGCTGCTCCTGCCCCCCTGGCCCGCGCTGCGCACCACGAGACCATCTGGCAGGTTCCAAGGGCCCCTTTTGGGCTCCTGCTGCCTCCAAAGGGGCCCCAAAAGGCCTCTTGAGGGCCCTTTCCTTCACCTCCCATGTAGGCCACCCCCCATGAACACCCGCCAGAACCTTTCGTTCACCTTTCGTGCCTCAGGGGGCCCCTTGAGGGCCTCTTCATGGGACGCACAAAGAAATACTAGTACTATATATGCTCCTTGGAGGCGCGCGTGCGACCCGAACACACAGTATACCCATCAGGTAGTATATCGTTTCCCGAGCGGTGTGGCCACGAGGAGCCCGCCGCGACGCATATACTATAAGATTCCTCTGTGCGCACGTCGCCCCTGGGGGGGCGACGCACACATAGTAGAAGCATGTTGGGGTGACGCCGACCATAGGTACACCTTCCTTCACCTCCGCATTTGTCGTCATCCCATTGCGCAGCGCCCGAAAAACCTTGCCGCTGGCTTCCGCAGGCGGAGCCGACCCCTTTCTGCTTCCGCCGCCCTCCGCCGAGGCAGGGACGGCAGCTCCTTCGAGCCTCGAAGGCGAGGCCTCCTGTCTGGAGCGCGCCATGCATATCGGGGGCGCGCCATGTACATCGGGGGCGTCAGAGGGGGGCGTCCGAGAGGGGGGGGGGGGGGCGCAAATCATGGCCAGCGGCATCTGCGCCGCGGCACAGGGAGGGAGGGGACGTATTGAGATGAGAGGAGGCGCCACAAAATCTGGGGAGACATCATGGCCCCCGCCATGCTATTCCCCCCCTGGTCATCCCCCCCCCGAGGTACCGGTAGCGCTACTCCCTGGACCTGTCCCCGGGTGCGTTCCGAATGATGGGCCTCCAAGGGGGCCCAGAGATGCGAACGCGAGGCAAAGGCAGCGGTATTAGTACCTGCTCCTCCCGAGTACATGTTCCTCCCATGAGTTGACAGGGCCAGGTCGATCGGCTCGCCTGGCACATTTTCTGTGGTCGGCTTTGCGCATCGCGCGTCGTGATGCGCGGCGCGCGACTGTCTTCGCGCCCTCGCGAGGTCGCCTTGGAAGAGGGCAGCGCGTGCGCTGGACTTTGAGGGGGGTTGGAGAGCGTGTTTGTTGCCCCTCAGCAGACAAGTTGGGGAGTTGTCCGCCACCGTGCCTGCATGGAGTGGGAGTGTTGGAATGCCCATCTTGTTGTCTGCAATGTTTTCTAAGGCCGACCTCCCCCCCTCGCTGCGCGCACCCTCCGAAAAAAGCCCCCCATGAATTTACTGTCTGGCGAGGTGTTCGACCCCAGACGGGCGGGATGGCCTCCAAGACGGCTCCCAAGGCAGCCAGAATGATACCAAGACGGCCCAGGATGCCCCACGACCACTTTAGAGGCCCAGAAACGGCCTCAAGACGGCTCGAGAGGCTTCCAAGACGGCCCAAGAGGGCTCCAAGACCCTCCAGGAGAGCCCGAGGAAACGAAAAACACTAATTCCCCTAAGGTTGTTGCAGGATTTTGAAGCTCTCACCTGTTTGGGTTTCCGCCCGCCCAAGACGGCCCACCAAGGCAGCATGTGAGGCCCCCAACCAGGGCCCTACGTTGACCCAAGATCGCCCGAGAGTCTCCCAAGAGGGCACCAAGACGGCCCTAGAGCGCTCCAAGGGGGCACCAAGACGGCCCAGAGATGCCTCAAAGACGGTCTACGAAGGCGTCAGAAGGGCCAAGAGTTCAGTAAGGTGGCGGCCCAAGAGGTACCAAGAAGCGCCCAAGAGGCCCCGTGAGGCCCCCAAGTGGCCCCCAAGAGGACCCCAGGAGGCTCCAAGAAGGCCCCAAGGGAGCCCCTAATGGGCCGTCGCCTCCTCGCATTCGTTTTCTCCATTTCCTCTTCCTCCTCCCTCTCCTCCTCCTCCATCCCTTGTCCTTGAAAACAACTCCTCCCTGTCGCACCCCCCAGGCGTGCCAGTAGGGCAGGCCGGGCGTTTCGCCTGAGACTTCGTCGCAATTCAAAACAACAATGCACTTCGACTGGAAATTTGCAACAACATGTGCAGCAGGTTTACGGATGGAGGCCGCGTGGTTCTCAAAATCTGGATCTGGCCCTAGCGCCGCCCACATGGGTCAACAAAGTTTCCAGTAATTTCATGGATGGGGGTGGCTGGTTTTCAAAATGTGGCTCTCGCCTGATTGCAGCGCACATTCGTCTTCAAAATTTGCAGCAGTTTCACGGGCGGAGGGCGCGTGGCTTTCAAAGCGTGGCTCTCGCCCACTGTCTCCCCAGAGTATGCACAGCTTCAAGGATGGAAGGCGGCTCCTCTTCAAAATGTGGCTCTCGCTCCAGCGCCGCACGGATTCGTCTAAAGCGCTTGCAGCAGCTTCTGTGATGGAGGGTCGCTTAACCAAATGAATCCGCCAGGACCCCTACAGAGGCAAGCTCTGATTGGGGAACAATTCTCTGGCACAATGCACTTGCAATGAGATTGCCCCGAACCTATTGCACCACCCACTGTCAGCTGGACCCCCGTGTGGGTCACACAAAGAGTCACCACCCACCCGCGCCCGAGAAGCGCAGCGACGCGCCAAGCTGCGCCCGGTGACCTGCGCAAGGGCGCGGCGCGGCCCCGAGAGGGCGGCGGGCGCCGCCCGGGTGCGGCGAGCTCCTGGGGTGCTTGTGGTGGCCGTGTGGCGCGCACCGTGGGCAGAGGGTCCGGTGGCAACTCATGTCGGGCGTTGTCAGAACTGGGTTTAGTGGGACCTGGTTTAGTGATGTGTACTGGGGGACGCCCCCCCCGCCCCATTCCACTGACCGGAGCTGCCGTCACCCGAAAAAAAAACGAGCTACGGCTGACCTGGTTTGGTGATTCTGGCCAATTGAAGGGCTCCATGGCCCTACCACTAACCGGGTCCGCTTACCTGGGGTCCTGGCCATAGCCGATCATGGGAGCCTCCCATACCATCTTGTCGGCTCTTGCGAGCCGACGCTAAAGCGACGCCAAATCGACGCTAACCTACGCCAAGCCGGGCTGTCTCGTCGACTCCCAGGCGCCAACCGACGCGAAAGACAGAGATTGCCAGGGTGCACAAAGGCTCCCCTGATCTGCTGCCGAAAGAGGGGCGGAGCTGGCGAGAGCGGCTGCACAATAGACGCAAAACTTTTCCGTTGCAAGGCGCCCGAGCACGCGACCGGTTCCGGGAGCCCTGAGCCCCAAAAAGCCATCTCTTGGGAGGCCGATTTTGAATTCCGCCTGCTTCTGATGGGCCTGTTTTCCACCACTACCACCACCATGCATAAGCTGGAGGGGGAGGGGGTCCTCCTCCTCCTCCTCCACCTCCTCCTCCTCCTCCTCCTGCTCTTCCTCCTGCTCCTCCTGCAACTCTTCCTCGTCCTCGTCCTCGTCCTCGTCCTCCCCCTCCAACTTCTGGTTGTGGTGGTGGTGGAAAAACAAGCCCATCAGCTTCCGTTGGCCTTCAGCCGGCCTCCGCCGACGGAGGCGGCCTCGTTCTACTTCCGCCGCCTTCCGCCGGCCTTCCGCTGCCTCCCGCCGAAGGCAACTCCTCCGATCCTCGAAGGCAAGGCCCTTGTTGAAAGGCTCCGCGCGCTGCTGGAAGTGGCGATCGAGAGCAATCGAAAATCAGATGCGCAATCAAGGGGCCAGCGATACTGGTCCGCGCGAGTGCGAGAGGGGCGGGGGGGAAACAGGGAACGAAGGAATCGGCAGGGGCGGGACGTGCGACGTGTGAGACGAGGGCGCATCAGAAAAGATTGAGCTGCTCGCGGCCCTGGCAGGAGGGCCCCCCCGAGCTCCCCACGACTTCAAACTCTTCGCCAACGGAAAACTACAGCGGCTGCTCTGGCTCGCGGAAAGCATCTCCGAGAAGCGGCGGGGGACGAAGATTTGTGGGAGGAGAAAGAAGAGGAGGAGGAGAAGGAGGAGGAGGAGGAGGAGGAGGAGGAGTGGGACGAGAAGGAGGAGCAGGAGGAGGAGAAAAAAAAGGAGGATCGCCAACGGACTATAGAGCATCGGACCTTGCGTCCGGCGCGTCGGCCCAGGCAAGGACACGCGCACGCACAGTCCGCCCCGAGCGCGGCTCGTGTGCGAGCGACGGTGTGCGCTGGAGAAGCAGGATGGCGCAGGACCCAAGTGAAGGGGCCCAGGGACACAAATAGACACAACTCCAAGGGTTCCCCAGAATGTCAACATTTTCTTGAGTTTCGTCTTCTGGTCCACTTTCCATCTGTTCCGAGGGGGCCGAACGGTCATTCAATGTCAATGGGTGCGTGGCTGAAGTGGGCTTCCGCGGTGCGGATTGTTGCTGTTGTTGTTGCTGCTGCTGTTGTTGTTGATGGTGATGTTGTTGTTGTGGTTGTGGTTGTGGCTGTCGTTGTCGTTGCTGTTGTTGTTGTTGTTGTTGTTATCGTTGTCGTTGCTGTTGTTGATGTTGTTGTTGGTGTTGTTGGTGTTGTCGGTGTGGCTGTTGTCTTGGTTGTTGAAATGTTTGTGTTGTTGCTGTTGTTGATGCTGCTGTTGCTGTTGCTGTTGCTATTGTTGCTGAACTCGCACAACTGAAAAAAATCGCGGGCCCAACGGGCCAGGGGCGTGCTAAGATCTCCGGTAACTGCTTAACAATATTTCTAGTTCGCGCGCGCGGGGCGTCCCCTGGGGCCACCGGGACGAAAAGTACCCCGGCCGATCCCCGGCCGGGTCCCCAGGGAGGAGGCTATTTTTCGCCACCCCTCACGAGGATCGTGGCCTCCGAGGGGGTGGCTGCAATCGACTACCCCCCCTCCCGCCCCAAGGGGCCCCCAAGAGCCCCCTAAGAGGCCCCAGGGGAGCCCAAGACGCCGCCAAGGAGCCCCAAGACGCTCCCAAGAAGCCCCCAAGAGGCCCCCAAGACGGCCCCAAAAGGCCCTAAGTAGCGCTCCAGGGCCGGCGGAATGAGCGAAGCGATACAATATTAGTGTTGATCCCCCTTCTGGGGCATATCTTGGTTTTTCAATTGAGGTGGCCTTCCAGGGGCTCGCACCCTGCTTTTTCATCTAGGGAAGTCTTGGTTCTCAGAATTTTGCCTCTGGCCCCCGAGTTACAACAACAACAACAACAACAACAACAACAACAACAACAACAACAGCAACGGCTCCCGCCGGACATTTCCCCGCAATGTATTCTCAACTCGCGCTCGCGCGCGGGACGTCCTCACAATGTATGCAGAAACGGCGCTCTCGCGTGGGACTTCCTCGCAAGTTCTTCAGACGCCGCGCCCTCGACACTCAGGAATCACCCTCTCGCTTTTGCCTCTCTCACGACTTACTTGGGAATCGCGCTATCGCTCGAAACTCGCGGCTCATGCAGGACGCACGCTTCAGCAACCCGCCTACTCGACCTGGCCGCCTGGGCCCGCCTTCCCGAATCGCCTGTTCGGGTCTACCCGCCCGATCTGCCCGTCTGATCTGCCACGAGTTTTCTGCTCCTGGCCCTCCTCCTGCTGCTCTCTCTCTCTCTCTCTCTCTCTCGTGTTCCATCCTCCTTCCACCCCCTTGTCCCTTTCTTCCATCTGTCCTGTCTTCCCCTGCCGTGGGGGCTGCATGAAATACACCGTGCAGGTAAAAAAAGAGATACTCCCAAGGGAATCCGATCGAAGCTGAAGGCTGGCGGGTATCGAGGGTTTGAAACATACGTGTTGACTGGCAAGCACGCACATAATAACGAACATAATTAACACGAGTGTGGTTGCTGCTGTTGCTGCCATTTTAAGCGTTGTCGTACACGGTGTGATTGATGTTGTTGTTGGTGTTGTTGCTGTTGCTGTGGTTGCTGGTGTTGTTGCTGGTGTTGCTGGTGTTAATATTGTTGTTGTTGTTGCTGTTGGTGGTGGTGTTGCTGCTGTTGCTAACGACGGCGGTGGTATTGGTGTTGGTGTTGGTGTTGGTGTTGGTGTTGCTGCTGTTGGTGTTGTTGGTGTTGTTGGTGGTGGTGCTGTTACTGTTGCTGTTGTTGTTGTTGCTGTTGTTGTTGCTTGTTGCCGACGTCCCGCGCACGACCCAGCCCGCGACCCACCAACGACCCGGCCCGACCCACCCGCTACTACCCGCGACCTACCCGCGACCAACCCGCGACCCGACCCGCGACCCACCCGTGGCCCACCCGCGACACACCGAACGACCCGCCCGCGACCCACCCGCGACCCGCCCGCGACCCGCCCGCGACCCCCCCGCGACCCGCGCGCGACCAACCCGCGACCCACCCGCGACCAACCCGCGACCAACCCGCAACACACCCGCAACCCATCCCTCGACCCATCCGCGACTCGCCCGCGACCCACCCGCGACCCACCCCACGCCCGCCCCCTCACTCTTATTCTAAGCCGCTTGAGGCGAAAAGTTCTTATGCCCCAGCGCCTTGGGCATACGAATTGATACGGATGCTGACATTCCCTTCTCTTCCCACCTCCTTTTTCCGCCGCAGCCGGACTTGAAGCAGCAGCGCTTTCGATCCTAGCCCAGCTGCGGCGAAGCAAGGGGCAAGACGATGACGACGAACGATGAGGACGACGAGGAAGTCGAGGGCGAGGACGAGGAGGACGGCGACGACCAAGCAGACTAGCCAGATCGTCAAGTCAGACCAGCCAGGTAGACCAACCAGACCAGCCAGGCAGAATAACCAGACCAACCAGACCAGCCAGCCGTTCGGACCAGCGAAGCACAGACCAGACTAAGCAGACCAACCTGCACGGACCAAGCAGACTAGCCAGACCAGCCAGCCGAACTAGCCAGGTAGACCAAACCGACCAGGCAGACAAGCTAGCCGTTCAGACCAGCGAAGCCCAGACCAAACTAAGCAGACCAACCTGCCCGGACCGATCAGACCAGCCAGACCAGCCAGTCAGACTGGCCAGGTAGACCAAACGGACCAGCCTAAGTCAAAGCTGGAGCTTAAGCCCCAAGCTTTGAGCTTGCTCTGTTGAAGCTTGGCGTCCAGCCGTGCGCCAGTCTGGTTGGTCTGACTGGTCTGGTTGAGTCGTAGCTGTCGTCGTCTTAGTCGTCATCACTTTTCTCGTCGCACTCGTGATAATGCTCGTCGTTCTCATCCGTGGTCTGCCTTCTGTCTGCCTTCTGTTACGTGTCCTTTCTCCCCCTCGCAACTTCGTTGTCCAGTCGGTTTATGTTCTATCGGCTCCCGATTCAATCCAGACCAGACCAGCCAGACACTGACCAGACCAACCAGATCAGTCAGACCTGGTGCAAAACAAACTGCGAAGCAAAAAGAACTGCAAAGCAAACCAAAACGCCAAATCTTAAGCTAAAGCTTCAGGACTAAGCTCGAACCAGACCAACCAGACCCGCCAGACCAGATGCAGCAACAAAAACTGCAACGCAAACAAAAACGCAAAACAAAAACAACTGCAGTGCAACACAACTGCTTTTCGGTCGTAGCCGTTGGCGCTGCCTCCCTGGACCTCCTCTAAACAAGTTTCGCCCGAATGCCAAGCTTAAGCTTCAGCACTGAGCTCAAACCAGACCAACCAGACCAGGCAGACCAAATGCCAACAAAAACCTGCAATGTTAAACAAAACGGCAAACACACTCTGTTTTCCGGTGGTCGTAGTGGTTGGCGTCGCCTCCCTGGACCTGCCATGAACAACTCTCGCCAGAATCGTGGTCGTGCGAAAACAGCAAAAACACTGCAGTGCGAAAAACGGTGTTTCGGTGGTCGTAGTTGTTGGCGCTGCCTCCCTGGACATCTCCTCTCCCCCGAACCTGGAGCTAAGGCTTCAAGACCAAGCTAGAAACCAGACCAACCAGACCAGCCAGACCAGATCCAGAACAACCTGCAATGCAAAAAAAACACTGCGCAACAAACAAAAATGTAATTCACAAAAAACGTGTTTTGTTCGGTGGTCGTAGTGGTTGGCGTTGCCCCCCTTGGATCTTCCCTAAACCACTCTCGCCCGAATCCCGCAACTAAAAAAACGCCCGCGCAATTCGCGCCTTGGATCATGCCAACCGAGGCGGCTGGCCTTTCCGCAGGCGCGGGGGGCATCGGCCTGCAATCGAAGATGCACCGCCAGAGAATGGGCGGAAGGCCTCAGATGCCGAGACTGCACGTTCCCAGCAAGGGTAGGGCAGGGGCAGGCCTTCCTGCAGGCGCGGGGAGATGGGCCTGCAATCGGCAATGCACCTTCGGCCTTACGGCCGATCTGCGAAAGGCCCTCGATGGCGAGACTGCACGTTCGCATTTTCCTTAAACAAATTGTCTGCAATGTTTCTATACATTGTTTTGGAAGAAAGGAATAGGCTCACTGCTTCTCGTTTCCTCCCGTTGCCTCCCGTGGCCTCCTATTGTCACTCGTGGCCTCCCGTTGCCTCCCGTTGCCTCCCTTGGCATCCGTGGCCTTCAGAAGCGACCCGATCCCAATCCCCCTCCGCATCCATATTCCTATCCCTATCCCTCTGCCTCTATCCCTACTATCCCTCTTATCCCCATCATACATCCCTATTCCTATCCGTTTAAACTATCCCTTTATCCCTATCCCTAGCCCTACCCCTGATATATCCTGGGTATCCTGTCGTGGCTCCCCATTGTGCCCCCCATCGTAACTGTGTAAAGCCATGTAGGGTATTTGGCCGCAAGGGTGTCTTTTCATATTCCTTCGAGACCATTGGCGCGTGCGAGGGAAAACAAACATGATTATCTCGTGTCCATGACAAAGACATTTCCGCGTGCGTCTCGCACAATTGACATCGCCCCCCCCTCGCCCACATCTGATCTGATACGCTCCTGGGCAGAATGGCGCACCCAAGCCCTCTGTCGGCAGTGAATGGACGATTCGGCATCGGTGTTTTATCCCCCGAATGAATCTCTCCATTTCGGCGTTCGGCGTCCCTGATCTTCGCATTGGCCCCGCGAGGGCACACGGAGGAAACAAGCGGCGCAAGACTGGCACAAGAATGAACCCGTGAGCTCCAGAAGCGGACGACCGTCATCGCTCAGAGGCAGCCCGGCGCGCTGGGCGCGTATGCCCTCACAGAAAACAGAAGCATGAAACTGCATCACACCGTGAGCTCTAGAAGTCCCACTCAAAAAACAAAACAAACAAGAATAATAAAGCATCGGACGTTAGGGCCCGTATAACCCCCTTCCGTCCGTGAATTCGGAAGAGAAGTTCGCAGTGATGTCCCGCCGCGGCACGATCTGGCATGCACAGGTAATGACGAGATCAGCTGCGACAATTCCTACATATCATGATGCGCACCCGAGACAAATCTGAATAGCACAAGAAGACACGCTTGACCGAGACACCAAGAAGACACGTTTGACCGAGACACATATACATATCTAGTCAACAACCATAATACACAACCTGAATCAACACCTCTTCTGACCCTCATCTGTGACAATCGACTGGTACCATCCATGTCGAGGAGGGGAACTCGCCCACATGTTTCCACTCATCGGCAGGTCCGAAACCGCAACCGCACTCACATCTCTCATGGTGCACACACCCGCCCGGCGTTCCTCTGAAACGAAGCCACTCGCAACGAAGGGGTGCATGCCGTGCGGTGGGGAGGGGTGATGCGCCCAGGCGTCCAGGCGTCTGCCGCGCTACCAATAACTTCTCGCATTCGTTCGGGATGTGCGACCCCCGATGCCCTGAAGAAACGGAGCCGCGCCCTTTACAGCCATTGCCCTGATGGGGGGGCAATCCGATGCGAAGAGGTCGATGCCACTGCCTGGACTCGAAAACGCGCAGGGCGTCGGGATGCAAGGGTTCCTGCTGAACGTCGCCAGCGCCACTGGCTCTTGCTCGCGAGTCTGCCCAGAAAGCCGAGGCATGCTTGAGGGAGAACGAGACGGGGGGACTGGCTCCAGGGGGGGATCATTGACTTGGAATCGGCAATACAGTAGGGGCTCGACCGCAGGGCGTCCCTTGAGTTCTGGCGTGGCAGCGCCACGCTTTCCATGGCATAACCATCGAAACCTAAGAAACCCAGGGCACCCTGGAGGCAACCAGGGTGTTTCTTGGCATGGGCCGCTACTGCAAATCAATTATGGGCTGGATCTCCTACTCGAGCGATGGCGCGCCACCCCCGCCGATGGCCCCGAGCCGAGGAGGACGAGGACGAGGAAGAGGAGGGGGAGGAGGAGGAGGAGGAGGATGAGGAGGAGGTGGAGGAGGAGGAGGAGGAGGAGGAGGAGGGGGGGGCGAAGGCGGAGGAGGAGGATGAGGAGGAGGAGGCAAGCAGGGTGTTTCTTGGCATGGGCCTCCACTGTACATCGCCGATAGATCTGCCATGGGCCCTGGAAGGCAAGGCCTCACGTGCCTCTATCGGCGACTCCAAAAGGTGTGGTGTGCAGAAGGTGTGGCTTGCAACCGGCACCCTGGGGAGTATCCTCGGGGGCACCCTGGGGGGCGCGCGGGGACCTCGATAGAGTTCTCCCGCGCCCCGAGGAGGCCCGACGAGGACAGTGTCGTGCCCCCCAGGCATCGGAGGCGACGATAGGGGCGAATAGATCAGGGGAGCGCATTACACGTCCCCCTCCGGGAGCCTCGGTGAAGACATGGATCATCGGCGCCCCTGGATACATGTGTTGCTCCCCCCTGGTTGAGCAGGGACCGACTGTCCCAGCATTTCTATAGGCCTACCACCAAATTTCTTAGAACCCAAGCATGTTCGAAGAACAAAAACGATGTTCTTAGAACCTGAGCCCGATGTGTTAAAACAAGACGGTCCCAGCCAGAAATGTTCTAAGAACATTTCGTGGAAACCACAAAAGGTTCTTAGAACATTGGTAGGCCTATAGGCATGCCAGGACGCTTCGCCACTGCTTGACCTGGGCTACTCGCCCCTTTCGTCGCCTCCGAGGGCCCCAACGGTGCCGATCGCAGGCCACACCCCGGCGTAACCGTACCCTTTGTAGTCGCCGACTCTGGGCGGGGTGGGGGCACCCATGTAGGCCTCCAGCGGCGGTGCCCGGGGCGACGGCGGGGGCCGCTGCTTCCCCCTCCCTCGGGCCGGCCACTCCCTGTCCAGAGGGGCCCAGGGCCACACAAACAGATAGACACAGACCCCAGGCTTCCCCACACTTTTCCCACAGAACGGCCGAGGAAGGCGCCCGAACGGGGCTCCACACACCATCGTGGCAGGAAGCTTCAATTGCACCAGGGCGTGTGACGGAAAACTTCGCACTCCCCAAACGGGGACGAGCCCGCTGTCCGGCGAGAGCTTTGAGGCTCAGTATCCGACTGTCGGCGCGGAATAGACGCAGTGGCAAAAACTGGCGGGGTGCGGCGCCGATCAGGACGTTATTTTTCAAGTTCCTGACGGGGGGCGACATCCCGCCAAGGCACCTCTGACACGGCACCGCACGGCACCGCACATGTTCTGGGTTTTCATTTTTCGCCCCCACTTCCCATATGTTCCCGATTTTCCTCGGAGTCGACGATTGACTGTGTCTGTGTGTTTTCCCCTCCTGACTGTCGGCGTCCCCGAACGCAAGGCCACTCTAACGGCGATGTTGGTTAACGGCGATGCTGGGAACCTGGTTTTGCGAAGCCGAACTCGCGCAGAACAGATCGTAGGCAAACACGAACAAACCGTTCCTACAATTTGATTCGCCACGAGCGGCTCCCGCCTACAATACAGAAACCTACATCGCCGTTGCATGCACCTCCTTCGACGTGTCTGCGGATGGCGCGGTGGCGCCGGCGGGAAGTTGGGGAAGCACTTCTGCGACTCCCGACGGTACACCTTCGCCCAGTCCACCTGAACGGGGGGGGGGCGCGAAGCAACAGAGCGGAGGGCGGCTTGGAGCGGGGTAGGGCAGCAGATGGCAGTGCGACGGGGGTGGGGTGCAGGAAGGGAGCGAAGGGACGGGAGCGACGGGAGGGAGGGGAGCGAAGGAAGGGAGCGAAGGGAATGGAGCGAAGGGAAGGGAGCGAAGGGGATGGAGGGGGTACAAGAAGGGAGCGAAGAGGAAGGGAGGAATACTGTGCAGGGGGAGAGCACCATCGCAGCGAATCAGAGTGAAGGACCAGCTTCGCACATCTCTCCGACCGAAGGAGAGCTTGCACCCCCGAGCAGAGGACTGAACCCCACAATCGACATACATATATATATATATATATATATATTATATATATATATATATATATATTATATTATATATATATCCGCCGGCCCCCTTGTGGGGCCACCAGGCTGCGAGGCGCGTGATTCGCAGTTTCCTGTACCAGTTGTAGTTTCTAGTTTCCAGTGTTACAGTTCTGCTTCTTGCTGGTTACTGTAACTAGTTGACGTCTTGCTGGTTACTGTAACTAGTTGATTGACCGCGCAAGGGGGAGGGAGGCCCAAACAAGACTTTCCAGCGTCCCCTGGGCGCGTTGTCTGAATTACTGAGGGGGGCTCGAAATCGACACCCCTCACGCAGATCCGCGGGGTCAGGGTCCAAAAACACATGGGATTTGCCACATTTCTGAAATTCGGTGCCACCCCTCACGCAGATCCGCGGGGTCAGGGTCCAAAAACACAGGGATTTGCCACATTTCTGAAATTCGGTGCCACCCCTCACGCAGATCCGCGGGGTCAGGGTCCAAAAACACAGGGGATTTGCCACATTTCTGAAATTCGGTGCCACCCCTCACGCAGATCCGCGGGGTCAGGGTCCAAAAACACAGGGATTTGCCACATTTCTGAAATTCGGTGCCACCCCTCACGCAGATCCGCGGGGTCAGGGTCCAAAAACACATGGGATTTGCCACATTTCTGAAATTCGGTGCCACCCCTCACGCAGATCCGCGGGGTCAGGGTCCAAAAACACAGGGATTTGCCACATTTCTGAAATTCGGTGCCACCCCTCACGCAGATCCGCGGGGTCAGGGTCCAAAAACACATGGGATTTGCCACATTTCTGAAATTCGGTGCCACCCCTCACGCAGATCCGCGGGGTCAGGGTCCAAAAACACATTGGATTTGCCACATTTCTGAAATTCGGTGCCACCCCTCACGCAGATCCGCGGGGTCAGGGTCCAAAAACATAAGGGATTTGCCACATTTCTGAAAGTCGAACCCATCACGCACATCCATCGCAAGGCGTGGCAATCCAAACTGCGAGAACTCCCTCGGCCCTTTCATCGCAAGGTGTGGCAACCAAGCCCTTAAACCATACACGTCTTACCAATCGCCAGGTGTGGTAACCCCTCTTGTGATCAGTTGGTTTTGCTGATTGCGACTCGGCTTCGCATGAAGTTTCGATACTGCTTCACGACAGCGCCAAAGGCCTCATGACTTAGCTCTTCCATGGCTCATTCTCCGAGAGAGGGGGCCGGCGGCAGGGGGCGAAGCCCTTACGGATATATATATATATATATATATATATATATATATATATATCGCCTCTTTACCATGTCGTCTCCTTGTTCTTGGCAACGACACAAGCCATGAGCAGCAACCTCGGAAGAACTCCGTGCAGGCGCACTACATGCAAACCTGCGGCAGAAAGGTAGGTATTGCTTCTGCTCGACAGGACTGCCTTTGGGACTTTGGAGCAACCATTCCTGGTGTTCCACGCTTTTGGTGTCATTCGGGGATGGACAGAACCCCCTTTAGTAAAGCGTGGTTTCGTGGAAACAACCTCGGGCCCAAACCTGGCGGGCGCTAGCCTAGAAAATGACGGCCGCGGCGCCCTCTCGAGAACCGAAAACGGACCATTCACTAATCGACGTGTAAGGGTGAGGGTTCCGTCCACCCTTGAGTCATAGACGCCCTCTTGATGAGCGAGCTCTTTGGTCTCGTCTCTGAGCTTCGAAAAAGAGAAGTACTCGGTCTACGGGACGGGTAGGTCCTCGACCGCCTCTACCGGGACCGGGGCAATGATCGGCTTGAAATCCGATTCTACGCCGAGTGCCATAGTCTTTGAGACTCGCGTCGAATAAACCCACAGACGCTTGTGGTAGGTCTGGAGAGGGGACATGCAGTAGAGCCCCAAGGCCTTCCTGAACACTTGGTTCGGGTGTGGGCAGCACTCTTATATTCTGCCTCGCTTCCCCGCGCCCACAGACCCGAATCCCCCCTCGCCGGCCAGCGGCGATGCCCGAAGCGCTCGCGAGAGTGAAGAGTTTGATGTGCTGGCTGCCATCGGCAAGCCTTTGACGCTCCTTCGCGTGCTCATTGGGGGGCATCTCCGTCTGTGCTGATGTTGGCGCAGGATGCATGCCAGTAGGAGCGATGTCGCGGTTGAAAAGCAGCGTGCAGAACTGCTTACCAATCCGATTTCCTTTCGGCCCGATACCCTTCGAGAGCACCCACCGCCACGCGTCTAACGGCGCAGCGTCGATGTAGTCTGGAGCGGCGAGCGTCGGAATGACTGAAGGGCTGAAGGGTGGAAGGGGGGAAACTCTCCCACGACCACCTTGGTCATCAAGCCGTTAATGGCAATCCGATTGACAAGGTATCTGGTCTTCGGCGGGTTCGCTGTCGGAGGCGGGGGCAGCGGCGGAGGCAACGGCGGTATGGCGCCGCTGCCCGCGGACGAAGAGCCACCCCTGGCAACAGAGTTGCCCCTGGACAGGCTCGTCTGGGCGCTGGTTCAGCTCGACGCAGAGCTGACAGGCCTGTGTGACATACGCGGCCATCATCGCGACGCATGGCTCGTCGTTCAGGCCGTGGCCCGGGAGGTCGGCGAGGATGTGCCGCGGGTTGCCCTTGGGGCGCGCGCCGCGCTGGTATAGCTCCGAACCTCAGACCCAGACCATCCGGCAAGAAACTCCCAACCCCTCCCGGTACAGCATCCGGTTCATGGCCGCAGCCGCTGCCCGTGACGCGGGGCCGTTCCACACAGTGCACGCACCCTCCGTCGGCTTGATGCCCCGCGACCTTGAATCGCCGAGTCCCAGCACCACCATGCAAGAGCACTGGGTCTGCGCGTGCATAGCCTGCGCGTCAACGAGGCGGGCGACCTGCTCCAACACCTCCTATTCTAGCTCGGAATAGAGCCGGCCGTCTGCGTCCTGAGTGGTCCCGCAGAGCCTGCGGTTCTCGTTGGCGTCGAGGCCTTTGCCCCTCTGTCGAATCCCAGAGTTGACGTGGTTGGGATGTCCGAAATCAACGTGCCCTGGGGGCTTCGACTGGGCGATCAAATCATATCTTGAAGCTTCGACATCAGGGTATGTGAGGCCCTCGTGAAGCCTGCCTGCCCATGTCGCCACTTGCGCTTCACGGTGCCACCCTTCAAGCGGGCGGTTCTGCAGGGCGTGAGAGCATACGGCTTGGCTTACGAAGCCCGAGTGGATCCCTGCCTTCCCCCGCAAGTCAGTGAACGCAGCGCTAACCTCGGCGAGCGATAACAGAGTTACCCGCCCCACTGCGTTGACGTTCGTCACCTCCGCCAGCCTGACGTTCGGGCCCCTGGTCAACTCGACGCACTTGTCGTCGGGTCTGAAGTTGTGTCTCGCAACGTGCATTACTATCCCGCGACCGAGGTTGATGCGAGACTGAAGTACAGCTGCGTGCCATGGCCCCAACACTCCTGATCCACGCGGCATCATGTTCCAGTCATGGACGATCTTGGCAAGCCCACATCAAGTCCTCCCCGACATAGTCGGGCGAAGTCGCAGCGCCCTTGCTTGCCTTCGCCCCTGCGCTGTCCTGCGCACCATGGGTTGCTTTCTCGCCCTCGCCACCCTTCGCGCCGCCTCCTCCGCCCGCTGCTTGATGCCCTCGTCGGAGAAGCTGAGTGGCGGCGGAACGGTCGGCGGAGCAGGTGGTGTCGTCCGTGGCGCAGGCGGTGGCGTCGATGGCGCAGGCGGCGCCGTGGGCGGAGCAAGTGGGCGCGCGGGCGACGGCGTCGATGGCGCCGGCGGTGCCGTAGGAAGCGCCGGGGAAAACGTGACGCTGAAGCCGCGTTCCCCCTGGCTTCATCATCCGCGCGTAGGTTAGCACTGTCCGCGCTGCGCCCCTCGGTGCCCGACTGGCTCGACATTGCGGACTGGCCAGGTGGTGGCGAAGTCGGCGGCGCAGCGGAGGATGCAGCTCCCGCGGCTGCCTCTGGTTGTCCTGACGGAAGGAACCCGCGGTTCCTCTTCGGCCTCTCCGCTCTAGACAGAGCTCCAGGGGGAGTCTTCGCTCTCGCACGGCCCACTGGTCTCGGGGGCGCGACTCCTCATGCGTCGGAGGTGGCGGCGCTGGCCGCGCCTAAGCTTGCTCGGCATGCGGGGGCCGCGGCGGCGGGAACTGCTGGCCGGCGAACTGCGGCGCTGCCCTCGGCGGGGGCGGGGCCCTCTGCGATGCCGCAAGTGGAGGCCTTGGTGCCGACGCAAGTGCAGTCGCCCATGGCGACGTCGCAAGCGGCGGCGGGGGTCGCTGCACCAGCGGGGCGCCAGTCCACGCTGCGCCGTTGGAGATGTCACGCGACGCAGCACAGGCGGCGCGTCTGCCCGTGACCCCCCGCTTCGGCGGGGCCTGGAAAGGGGCCCTGAGGCGGCAGTTCGGCGGCGATTCCTCCAGGCACGGGAGGCCCCGCTCGATCGCGGCAGGGAGGCCGACTGTCGTTCTTCATGCTGGGTCGACAGGGATGCAATCAGCAGATGAGAGCCAATCCAGATACGCCAAACTGTTCTCCATCACCCCTGGCGCCCCCAGGCCGCTGGCGTTCAGCCTGCCAGCCCCGCAGAAATACCCGGTGTAGTCGCGCTCCAAATGAGGGCGCCTCGCGTGGATCACTGGCTCGTCGATGATCTGCTTCTCCACGTCTCTGCGCGACCAGCCAG